ATTTTTTGCAAGGTTCCTGTGAAGTCTTTTATCTAAAAATTGTGCTACCTTGCTGATTAATGCTGCTACCAAAACTCAGATGGACTTGTAAGTTAAACCCAACAACACAGTAGTACGGTTATCAGTAGTGCTCACTCATTTCTGCCCCCACAGAGGTTAAGGAAGGAGACAGAAGCTCTGTCCCCATCTGAAGCAGTAGCCTGATAACAGGTCCTTTGTTTCTCTCAAAATTGAGTGGCATCAATGATTCTTACTTTTCCAAGAATTTTTCTCATAAACAGAAATGTGAGACATGCTAACCTCAACATAGGGTGACAGTAATTTAACTCTTTTTTAACTTGTCAGAAGGCTTCTAGTATGAGATTTGTCCATCCCTCTTTATCATAAAAGATCTCAAATGAGGCCTGACTTGGAAAAGAAACAATTTGATAGTAAGGAGGAAAGATGTAGAAAATGAGGTTTCAGAGCCTTGTTTGATACTGACCTCTGGAACCCATTTCTGGAAGTTTGTTAGATCATAGGAGTCTGCATTTAGAGTATAGGTTGTCACACATGACATCATCTTGTATGTAGAAAATCCTAAGGAATCTACTAAAAAATTGTCATTGCTTATAAAGGAGTTCTGCCATGTTGCAGAACGTAAGATCATTGTGCAAAAGTCAGTTATATTTGTGTGCACTTGCACCGAACAATCTGAAAATGAAATTAAACAATTCCATTTATAATAGCATCAAGAATGATAAAATACTTAGGAAAAACTTTAAGAAGAACAAAACTTATACTCTGAAAACTACCAACGTGGTTAAAACAAATTAAGGAATATTTAAATAAATGGAAAAATAACCCATGTTCATGGAATAGAAAAATTAATTGTAAGATGGCAGTACTCCCCCAAGTGGATTTACAGATTGGAGGCAATCCCTACCAGAATCCCACCCGACTTCTTTATAGAAACTAACAAGCTGGGGAGCCCGGGTGGCTCAGCCATTGAGCGTCTGCCTTTAGCTCAGGTCGGGATCTGGGGATCCAGTCCCACACTGGGCTCCCTGCATGGAGCCTGCTTCTCCCTCTGCCTGTGCCTCTGCCTCTCTCTGTGTGTGTGTCTCTCACGAGTAAATAAAACCTTAAAAAAAAAAAACTGACAAGCTGATTCTAAAATTCATATAGAATTGCAACAGATCCAGAATAGTCAAAACAATCTTTAAAAAGAACAAAGTAGGGGCAGCCCGGGTAGCTCAGTGGTTTAGCGCCACCTTCAGCCCAGGGTGTGATCCTGAAGACCTGGGATCAAGTCCCAGGTGGGGTTCCCTGCATGGAGCCTGCTTCTCCCTCTGCCTGTGTCTCTGCACCTCTTTCTCTCTCTCTCTCTCTCTCTCTCTCTGTGTTTCTCATGAATAAATAAAATCTTAAAAAAAAATAAAAAGAACAAAGTAGAAGCACTCACACACCGTGATTTTAAAATGCATTATAAAGCAATGCTCATCAAGATAGTGTAGTACTGGCATAAGGATAGACCTACCTGTAGATCATGAAAGTCCAGAAACAAAACTATGTCAACTGATCTTCAAGAATAGTTCCAAGACTATTCAATGGCAAAGAATAGCATCTTTAATAAATGGTGCTTGGGCAACAGGACAGTCCCATGCAAAGAGATGAAGTTTATTTTTCAGCTCACACCATACATAAAAATTAACTCAAATGGATCAAAGGCTTATTATATGAAACATTAAAACTATACAACTATTAGAAGAAAACAGGGATAAATCTTCAAGATCTCAGATTTGGCAGTGGATTGTTAGATATTACGCTGGAAACATGCAACAAAAGAAACATTGGACTTCATCAGAATTACAAACTGTTCTGCTTCAAGGAGCACCATCAAGATATTGAAAAGAACCCTAAGAATGGGAGAAAATAATATCAAATCAAAGATCTGAAAAGGGACTTGTATCCAGAATAAAGAACTTTTGCCATTCAATAATAAAAAGACAATCCAACTAAAATATGGGCAAAGGATCTGAATCCTTTCTTTCAAGGATTAGACCTGAATAGACCTTTCTTCAAGGAAGATATGCAAATGGCCAATAAGCATTAGCAGGGAAATGCAACTCGAAACCACAACGAGCTGCCATTTCAATGGCTGTACTGAAAAAGTGATGAACAGCAAGTACTGGTGAGGATGCAGAAAAATTCGAACCCTTGTTTTTTACTGGTGGGAATGCAGAATGGTGCAGGAAGTTTCTCAAATGATTAAATATAGGGCTAGCATATGATCCAGCATTTTAAAAGATTTTATTTATTCATGAGAGACACAGAGAGGCAGAGGGAGAAGCAGGTTCCCTGCAGGGAGCCCGATGAGGGACTCGATCCCAGGACACCGGGATCACGACCTGAGCCAAAGGCAGATGCTCAACCGCTGAGCCACCTAGGGGCCCTGGTCCAGCAATTTAATTAGATATATACCTAAGAAAAATGAAAATCTATGTCCATACAAAAACTTGCACATGAATCACAATAACCAGAAGGTAGAAAACAACCCAAATGTCCATCACTTGATGAATGGATAAAGAAAATGAAGTTATATCCATACAATGGGATATTTGGCCGTAAAAAAGAATGAATTACACTGATAGAACACATACTATATTAAAGCATATTATAGCTAACATATAGCACACACATATATACAGCTAATAATGAAAGCATGCTAAGCCAAAGAAGCCAGTCACAAAAACCATGTTATGATTCTATTCACGTGAAATGGCCAGAAGAGCCAAATCCAGAGATTTCAGATTAGTGGTGGCTGCTTAGGGCTGGGGCAGGGTGGGTAGGGGTGTGGGAAGCAACAAAGTAGTAGGTCTTCCTGTGGCTGATGATAATGTTCTAAAATTGAGTGGTGATGGTTGCACCTACTGGAAGGCACTAAAAAATCACTAGTTGTACATTTTAAATGGGTGAATTGTATTGGTGTATGAATTCTATCTCAATTTATTAAAAAAGGTTTTTTTCATGTCTTACACTTTTGGTGACTACCAAGAGACTTCCTTCCAGGGGCATGATGAAGTAGGCAAAGAGAAAAGCTTGGAAGCCCTTTCCCTCTCTGCGCACCCTCCCGTCTGCGGTCCCTCTCTCTCTGTCCTAATGCTTCAGGAAATCCCAGGTAGTAGGAATTGCAGTTGGGAATTCTCCACTCTCTCTGCCCATTTTGTAACGGGTGGTTGCTTGGGGCATTAAAAACCTCTATAGAGGTAGTCTGCCGCTGAACTGAACCCACAGATGAGAGACCCAGATTACCACATGTAAAAGAAAATTTTGTAGGCATGAGGAGCTGGAGTGGTGCAAGGAAATCAGGCTGCCATCACTGACGTAGCCTTACGGTGGCAATGGAATCAAGCATACCTCACAAGTCTCCATTTTCATCATTCAGGTTAAAGCTAATTATTTTAATAACCTTCCTTCCTTTCTCCCTCAGTTGAAGAGATGGTGTCAGCAGGTGTAAAACGTTATATCCTGCCCACACTCCCAACTCAGTAAACGGAGTCTGTCTCAGGGCAGCTTTCTGAGATTCTCTTCAAGAGTAGCAATCTACTATATTACACACTAGAGCACAAAGTGAATTGAGAGGCTTTTAAAAAAAGGTTTTTGGTTTTCAGGACCAAACCAGAGACTTCTGAGAATGGCTATCAGAAAAATCAAATTTCTGAGATCCTTTGAACCTGTGATGGGGGTGGGGTGCAAATGAATATTGTTTTGTGGATTGTAAAGAGGAATGATGATAATATTGTGTCAGATGTTGCTTATTTTATTAAGAATGTAACTTAGGGGCCCCTGGGTGGCTCAGTCGGTTAAGCATCTGCCTTCAGCTGAGGTCATGAACCCAGGTCCTGGGATGGAGCCCCTGTGATGGGCTCCCAGCTCAGCAGGGAGTCTGCTTCTCCCTCTCTCTGAGCACCCCCACTCAGGCTCAGTCTTTCAAATAAATAAAATCTTAAAAAAAAAAAAAAGGAACATAACTTTTGAAAGCAGGATGCTTTCGTTAATGGTTGTTAATGGTTGTAAAATGACAAGAATATTTTTCTTTGAAGCTTGTTCCTGGAAAATTTGCAGTGAGCCAAAACATCTCCTAGATGATTTGTTTTAAAGGACTTAATATGGTCATAAGCAATCCTCCAAATCTTTCCAGGTGCCTATGAAAAAGTCACTGAACACCTTCTGAAGCATTTTACAATAAAATAAGGCAATTCTTGTGAGATCCTATCATGGTGGGTGCAAGTTTATGTGGTTGGCTACTCTTGCCTATTCATTTATAATATGGAGTTACTAGAGAGCATTTAATGAGAATACATCATAATGGAAAACAGATTTTTTTTTAGATTTTTTAAACATATAATTGGTTTATAGTTCAGATTATTGGCTATGATACTTTAGGTAAATTATAGCTCTGCTTAAATTTCATATAATATATGGATAACACCACCTCTTACGAGGTTGCTGTAAAGATTAAAAGATAATACATATATAGTGCCTGTAACAGCCTGGGTGCACAAAAACATAGTAAATGTTAGTTTCCTTTGATTAAATAGTACTTGTGATAATAAGCTGAATATCTGAGGAAAGAGGAAAATAACACTTGATACTTTTTATTTATAGTATCTTTTTCATATAGACTATGGGCTAAAAAAATCAGGAAATATTTCATACATTTATTTTTTAAAAGATTGTATTTATTTATTTATTTGAGAGGGGAAGAGAGAGAGAGAGAGAGACACGGAAGGAGGGAGGGAGAGAGGTAGCAACAGAGAGCAGGAGTGGGGAGGAGAGAGAGAAGCAGGCTGCCCGCTGAGGAGGGTGCCCAATGCAGGGCTCAATCCCACAACCTAAGCCAAAGGCAGCCGCTTAATCAACTGAACTACCCAGGCACCCCAAGTTTTCATACATTTAAATAAAACAAAAAATAAGATTAGGGAACATGTATCAAACTTTAACAATTACTTTATTACCTTTATATCCTTTATTTTCTGCTTTTCGAAATTGTCAATAGTCTCCTCTAGATGACGAGTTGTCCGGGTAGCATCCATCGTAGCTCTCTGCAATTCAGTTTCTGCCTGCAAAAGTATTCCCCAATCAAAGATATAAAAAGTTCAAGTTAGAATCCAATCAACTGAGCCTATCTGTAAATGTTACCATTGCACTACTGGCTTTTTGGCCACTGTAAACTGTTCAATAATACATTTTATCACATAAAATAAGATGATCTGTATAATAAGCACGTGCAGAAATAAAGAGCTTTAAATCTATTAAGTGATAGGATTCTTGACCTCAAACCAAAGAAAACCCTCTCTTTCTACAAAACAATTTTTTCCCCTATATCGTCCTTGGATTGTTTACTGTAAAACAATTTTCTATATTTTCTACTGCTTTCACGTATTTCACTGTCTGTTCCACTTATCGTTCTATTCTTTTTCTTCTCATTCTTTCCCCTTTAACACCTTCTCTTCAAAAAAAGATCTGTGACTGAAGTATTTTCAGTTTTCTATTTCTTCAAATGCATTAAATGTTTTTTTTTAAGATTTTATTTATTTATTTATTTATTTATTTATTTATTTATGAATGATAGAGAAAGAGAGAGAGAGGCAGAGACACAGGCAGAGGGAGAAGCAGGCTCCATGCCAGGAACCCAACACGGGACTTGATCCCGAGACCCCAGGATCGCGCCCTGGGCCAAAGGCAGGCACCAAACCGCTGAGCCACCCAGGGATCCCTGCATTAAATGTTTCTAATCTTGTAATATCCTCATCAGATATAGTAGAATATACACTACAAATATTTATTTCAGCATGTATATAATATATATATGTATATTCTTCTTAGAGGCTAATAATATTAAATAATATTACATTGTTACCATTTAGTTAAGGCTTAGTACAAAAAAATATATATACAGGTAATAAATTAGATGACAAATCTAGTGCTTAGCTTCATATATTGTAATGACAAGTACTTGTACTACCTGGATCTGTGTTGTATGATCAATATGGTGGACAGTAGCCACATGTGGCTATTTGTATTAAGATTAAATGAAAATTTAAAAACTGTATCGTCATTTACTCTAGTTGCATTTCAAGAGCTCAGCAGCCATATATTGGTAGTGGTTACTGTAAAGTGCAAAACACTTCCAATCTACTTATGTATTCCTCTAAAAAAAAAACTCTTACTTTAGAATAGTAGTTGCCCACAAATATTTAATAAATATTTAAAATATTTATTATAAATTATGTTTAAAATATTTAAAATATTTTATTAAACAAGTTTTAAAAAGCATAGCCTAATTTTGATTAAATTCCAATAGTTTTGTTTCCTATCCTAGTAGTATATTTGCTCAAAAGTATCACATATCATCATTTAATAATTAATCCATGGGAAAAATGTACATTTCTCATCAAAGCCTAGTGACACATACTAATCTGACATTTAGCCTTTGCTTCCTTTTTTCAAGAAAATGTATAAATTGAAATAAGTAAAAGAGTTTACTATAAGGATCCATTTCTTGACACACCACTTTATTACCCACCTGTGACTGAAATTTTTCATAAAGGAAAAAATACATTTCAAAGAGAATATTTTTTAAAATAAAATCATATACTCATGGAATTATATGATCTTGCAATTAGATTATACATTAATTATAACTTTATAGTGATTATGTATTCTCACATTTAGGTTAATTCAAATACATGATTTTAAGATACTAAGTATAAAAAAATATTTGTGTGTGTCTGTGTACATTTGCCATATAGGGTTTAAAGTTTTTAAAAACCATATAAACTTTTAACTTTTAATCATACCCAGTGATCAAAAGTAACTTTCTATATTACTGGGCTTGAGATTTTAAAAATATAACTATCATGGAAATTCAAAAATAAAATAGAGCCCCTTTATAGATTTGTATGAAAACATGTCTAACAGCTATTTGATGGCATGTTAACCTTCCACTACTGAGAATACCCAAGTAGACTAATACTATTACACTTGACTCATACGATTCTTTACTTGTGACTACTTCCTTTCGACTTATCATGTCTTTGCCCTCCCCATTTTATTGGTAGTTTCAATTTTTTTTTTTTTAATTTAGATAAGTAGATAGAATTGCCTAAACCACGGGAAGGGGAAGCAAAAGCTAACAGCTGGGACATCTTAATCTTCTACTGCCCTCCAGCAACTAGTATTCATTTCTGAAAGTCTCATATCCTTTTACTGAGGCATAGCAACTCACCCGAAGTCATACAGCTATTTTTAGCAAAGAGGATATAGGTTTCTATTTCTTCTTTTTTTTTTTCTCTGAAAATTCTTCAAAATTCTATATTGGATCAATTCGAGTAGGAAATGCTTTTAATTAAAATACTATGATACGACTTTATGAGGAGAGGTATCAGTATATTTAACGAAATGAGTCCTGAATGCAAAATGCCTTGTAAAACAGTGAGCCAGACTGGTGTTTTTCAAACCGTGTTACAGGAAGCTTTTTCAGGGGCCCCCCAGAGTCTTCCAGGATGAGCACAGAGCCCTGAGATTCTTTTTTACCCCATCCTCTTGTATCAGGGCTACTCAAGTTATTTTACTTACTGGACTTTAACATCCTTCTTTTGAATTGTCAGATGAATTTTAAGGGTCCATCCTGGTAAATGTTCTGTAATGCTATGAGTGAATATTCTTATATTTATATTAAATACATTTATATCCTTTATCTTCTAGTCTTAAGTTGTCAAAACCCACTCACTTTCCCATTGAGCACAGCAGTTCACCTACAGCAATGATCTATCCTGTTGCTGCATTTTATTTCCCCCCATGTGAACCCAAAGACCGATTTCATCTACAGTTTAAGACTACCTCTTCCATAGCAGTGTTCACAACAGACCATCTCAGTCAGAAACACCTTTACCTTAGGAATATTCATCTCTGTGTTGAGTCTCCATACTAATACCCCTGATTCAATCCTACAGACATGACATTTTTTTCTGCCTTTAAGTATTTTCCTCCAAATTAAACAATAAAATTTTGACCTCTGGTTTACTTCTTAAAAACTGGTGACAACCCTAGTTGTCAGTCATAAATTTTCCAGCATTCTCTGGTTTACCTGACTTGCTTAAAAGCCAGGTTCTGTAATCTAGTTGTAGATGTTAAGCCTCAATGAGATGTTCCCGTCCCAGCCTCCAGTGGGCACTCCCAAGCCCTATGGCTGCCTATTTTTCTTTATTGCGTGCTTGGGCATATGTACCTTTGGTCCAAAGGAAGGAGGACCAGGCATTTGATGCAACCCCAAATCACTGCTCGAGGGATTCCCCTCAGGAATGGAGGTGTTCTGGAACCTCAAATGCCCCCATTGAGCCATTCCTCATGTGGTTTCTGGCTGAGCTGGGCAGTTAAAACCTTCAGGAAGTAGGAAGGAGACATAAGAAGGAACGGGAAAGAGAGGCAGCGGGATAGATTAGTACTTTCTCTACAGCTGCACCTATCCCAGTTGCTGGGAATTAGCCAGGCACTATTTTCTATCCTTTTCTTTAATCATCAAGGCACATTCTAGTTTAAGGGTCAACCTTAACAGAAAAGCCTTGTTACAGGAGACAGCCCTATCTAGATTCTTTTGTGTCCAGCTACAGACCTCAGTTTTACTCTAGAAGACTCTGAAGGTCTTTTGCTGCTAGTCACAATTGTGGTTTCACATTATTGTTTTGAAAGGTGAAGGGAATTATACTGGGGAAAAATGACTTTTCCTTCCTTTGTTCAAAAGCAGGGCAGACAGGGCATTCATATATTAGGATTCATGATAGATGTTTAAATTGATTTTATAATTAATATTCAGTCATCATGTGGAAAAACAACTCAGAATTTTGAACTTTCTATAAAAACATCAACATTTTTAAGTGTTTTATTTTTTGAATATCTATTATGGAAAACAAAAGGGGAATGAATTAGTGGTACAGTTTGTTTAAAATTAGTTTATCTCTGTAATGATAATTTGTAAATGTGTTTCTTTTCAACCTTTATATTCAAATTTTCAGCACATTTAAAAGTAAAATGCATATTTTCCATATATATTTACTTTTGTACAGCATACCTTACAAAACATTTTTTTAAAGATCAAAAGTCAAAGGATACAATAACATGTCGATCAGATGGGTTTCGCTGACGTGTTCTTTCTAACTGATTTAACTGTTTAGCTTCTCGATTCCTTGCTGTTAACGTTGCTTTGAGGTCATCCTGAAAATAAGCATTGTTGATTAACAAAAATCTCTGATTTAAGAAATAAAATACATACACTCTGTTTTAAGAATGAGAGAACACTCCTGTTTGGTCCAGGCATCATTACCAGAGGAATTATTACTATTGCAGGATCAGTGTGTGTCTTGTGTGAGAGTGTGCATGTGTGTGTTTAATACCTTCTCAAATGATGATACAGATAATTTCAATGTAAACCTATAACCAAATATATATATATATATATATATATATATATATATATATATATATATATAATTTTGGTTGTGGTGGTGGTTATATGTGTATACACATTTGTCAAATTTCAGTGAACACTTAAAACAGGAGAATTTTATTGCCTGTAAATTATACCTCAAAGTTGGTTGAAAAAACAGAACTTGGGGTTGTAACATACAGTATGGTGGCTATTGTTACTAACACTACTGCATATTTGAAAGTTGCTAAAAGTTTATCTTAAAAGTCTTAAAAGAAAAAACATTTCTAGCTATGTATGGTGTTGGATGTTAAATAGACTTGTGATCATTTCACAATATTTATATTCAATCATTATGTTGTCCACTTGAAACTAGTCAGTTACACCTCAGTAAAAAAAAAAACAACAACTTTGTCACACTTTTAATCTACATGTTACTGCCTACTTTAAAATGAAAATATAAGCATTCATTTAGTAAAATAAGTTCCGTCCATATATTCTTCATGACTACAAATATTAAATATCTTAAAGTTTCTACAATAAAATACTGCTTCATGTTATTACTTAGTGTAACACTACATTGTACTTTTTATTAAGAGGACAATTACTCTTTGCCACCAGAGTTAATAATAGTAGGAAAAATGAATTTACTTACTCGTTTCATTTTTACAATGGTTCCATAAGCTTTCAAAGGTTCAACTACTTTGGCTTCAAGTCTTTCAACCTATTGAAAATTATTATAAAATATAACTGAAAAGAAACATAGATATATCAAAACTTAAATTCTGAAATAAAACCTGGGCTATTTAACCCAAACATAATTAATACACAGAGTAATGTTTTAAAATGTTTAAAATGTTAGAATTTATCTTTGTAAGTAAAAGAATAATCACTAGAAATTGATAAAACTCAGAATCTTAAACACAATAAAACTTGCTAAGTCGTAGAGTAACAAAGCAGAAAAGTACCTAGTGTGCAATCTGACAAGAAAACCTCTCGGGTTTCTAAGAAGCTTATCTCTGCCACAAGATCATCTCTTTATTATTTTTCTTCCTTATAGTAGCTTTTGGGTAAGTTTTAAGCCATCTCAAATTTTACAGCTACCACTTTCAGTGTGATTGGCCCAGTGTTGGATATTTTACATTATATTATCTCCAAAATGTAATAGTCCAACTTTCCAGATAAGAAAATTGAAGTTGAAAGATGCAGCATGTTGGAAAAAATTAGTGACAATCCTTAAAAGCAAAAGAAGCTTAAAGACCATTGTATTAGGTGCAATTCTTTTCTGGGAAGCCATTTGTAAATTACCAATGTTTGGAGAACAAGATAAATGGTCTCAGTGTTGCTGAGCTGTGAAACTGCATGGTTGATCTTTTATTTAGAATTAAACTGCTTTTCTTAAACATTATCATTTTTATCATATTTTGAGTAATTACACCTTCAATTAATAGCGCTAGTAGAAGACACTGAAGAAATGGGGTTTTTAAAGGCAGATACAGCATAAGAAAAATAACTCCTGGATGTTCAAATTTTCCTTATCAGGACAGGTAATACAAGATGACATTATCTAATTGTTTAAAATGAACATGTTATTTTAGCAGCAGGAAGAAGGCTTTTTTTTTGAGGATACATGTTTATATAGTATGTTTCATTTCATATTGGTTTTTATATAAACAAAATGTAGATGAATGTTTCACTTTAAAAGATTCTAGGAAAATGAAAAAAATAAGTTGTCATTGAGCATTTAAATATTAGGAATCCTAAATCAAAACCACGAATAATCAGAATAGTTCAATCTGTACCATTTCAGATAATCCATACGCTGACCATTCAGTGCAAGGATTATCCAAGTCTTTTTTTCCTGTTCTCCTTTTTGTTGCCTACCTTTTGTTCATTGTTCATTAGCACCTCCACCATTTGGTAAGCAAGGGAAATAAAAAAGGAGAACAAATGTAAATCAAATTCACTTTGCTATTTAATAGCATAAAGGTTTTCTAGAAAGGGGCATTGAAGTTATTGTCTTATGGGTTTTTAAGGTTATATCAGTGAGTATAAATTATTTTTGAAGTCCCCAGTTACGTGTAACTGAGAGTTGCTTGTTTGTTGTAGACTATCACATGACAAGAACTCAACTTTTCCCGAAAGTACCCCCAAAATGTAATTACTACTCAAATTTCTGTATGAATAGCAAGTAGAGGTTCAAAGATCATTATCTTCACTTTGTTTTGTGAGTTGTTTTTTTTTTTTTTTTTTTAATGACTGAAATTTCTGTACAAGGCTTTTAAAAAGTACCAAAAGCACTGATGAGAGGAGTACAAGAGAAGCAGTGCTGCGGCTTCTAACTGGGCAACTTCTAATACTTAACCTGTATCTTGAAACCTAAAATATCTATTAGTGAAAATGCTTATGAGATACTAAAAGTGAAAATGAGCTTTTAGAAAGAAAACAGTTACAACACCACCTTTTTCCCTCCCTTCCAAAGCAAAAAACAACAACAAACCCCAAAACCACTCCAGGAAGTCTCATTACCAGTATCTATGATATAAATCAGGAAATCAATGCTGCTTTTCTTTTTGTCAATGAAATATTGGTCACTTCCCCGAGCACTGAAGCAGCATAGATCTCTTGTCCGTTTACTACTTAATCACTGACATTACCACTCTCCCCATGCTTCATCTGCAGACATACTTTAAAATATACTTACGTGCATACAAGACACCAGTCACGCTCCTTTTCTTCCCCACGGGCACTACGTTTACTACCCCCTGTAAATAGCCACCCCTTGGCCAAAAGCTGGCAAATGAAGTGGGGAAATTTCAGGACTTCAGGACACCCTAACAGTTTAGTTTGAAAACGGTAAAATCAACAAATCACAGGAAGCTTCCCTTTAATAGACTCACACAATGTTACATGAAAATGTAGGTTTATCATCAAGTGTGTGTTCGCCACTGCAGTTAGGTGGATTACAAGTGACAGTCTTCACGGGTCCTTCATGCACCAGTTCAGGGCTCATTCCTAACAATGACGCTGTGACCTCCATACCTCTGCCTGTCGGTAATCCTGGAGTTTGGCAAACTCATCAGCAAAGTTTTTCAGGCCCTGCTTTAAATTTGGGGTCTCTGTGGAGGCGTACGCGTTGATTTCATTCACCAGGAGGTCCGCTTTGTCTCGCAGCCTGGCCGTTTTCCGCACATAAGCAGCAAAGATTTGGCACAGCTCCCCGAAGTGCTTCTCCACATTTGTGACAGCATCTTGCAGTTGTTTGGTTTGAGCGTCCCTGGGGAAAAAAGGGGACACAAAAGGCGGATCGTTCTCATTAGAGAGGAGGTGGCTTCATCTCCACGGTCCCGGGACAGGCCAGCGTTCCAGGGGCACGCCGCAGCTTAGGGGCGCGAACCATCGGCGGGGCCGGCGGTGGCCCTCCAGGTGGCCTCTCGGGGCCTGGCCTCGGTGCCCCACAGCCTAGGCGCACGGAGGCGCCTCCGTGCCGGGCGGCGGGGGGCGCTGCTGGGGCTGCTCCGCGCGGTGCCCCGCGGCCCCGGGAGGGCCCGTCCCAGCCCCGGCCTCCGCGCCTCCGGGCCTCCGGGCCTCCGCGCCTCCGCGCTCGCTGCCGCCCGGGGAGGTAGGCCCCAGGGCGCGGCGGGGGCGGCGCGGAGGCCCCATCGAGGCCCCACCGAGGCCCCCGGAGACGGGCCGCCCTGCCCCCACCCGAGCCCCCGCGTGTCGGCCCCCGGTCAGCCGAGGCCCCGGGGCCGTTACCGGTTTTCCAAGCTGCGCCTCAACATGTCGCCTTGCGCCCGCCGGGGACCCTGGCCTGGGCCCAACGACCCGGGCTCCGCGGCGCCGGAGCGAGCGCCCCGCCGCGAGCCGCCGCCTCCTGCAGCCCAGAGCCCGCCCCGCGCGCCGCCGCGCCGGCCCCGGCGTTTCCACGGCAACGCGGCGCGTCCCCGCGCTCAGGGCCCGCGGCGGCGGCGGCAGGGGCTAGGACGGGCGAGGAGGGGGACGGAGGGAGGAGGAGAGGAGGGCGGCGAGGAGAGGAGGCGCGGGGCGCGGGGCGGGGGGCGCGGGCCAGGGCCACGCTGAGCCCGAGCCGCGGTGGCCGCTCGCCTGGCGCCCTCCGTCCCCCGGACGCCGCCCCCCCTCCCCGCCCCCCCCACCCCCCCCTCCAGCGGGAAGCCTGCCGAGAGGCCTGGGTGGACCCCGCGAGGAACCTGGCACCCGGGCCCTGGGGCTCCTGCTGAACTCGGCTTCTTCCTGCGGGGGTTTGTTGAGTCCCATTTTCTGGACGAGATTGGGTGCGACACCGGGCTCCTACAAAGCCAGGAAGGACGGAGCCCCATCCCGAGGGCCCTGAGAGTTCCGCGAGCTGACAGCCACCAGGCTGCTGCGCAGCGAGCCCCGAGGCAGGAGCTCGCAGGTTGGCCTTGAGCCTCCCGGGCCCTGGCCGCCAGCCCTGCGCTCAGGGCTCTGCCTCCCTGACGGCGGCGCCGGGGCTGCCCTCCGTGCTGTCTCGTCTGGATTGTGCGCTGTCGCCCCTCGTCTACCCTGAGCTCCTGGGGAGAGGCCGCCTGGTTTGGGCCTTGGATTCCCGAGGCTTTACCATGACAGACGTTCCTCTTGGACCCTCCACCGCCGGCCCTGGACGCGGCGGCTCTCCCCTGGCTGCGGCCTCCCGTCGGCTTCTCGGCTGAACCCCGGCGGCCCTCCCGTTCCTGCGGCCTCCCCTGTCCTCTGCTCCTGCGCGGGGCCCCGGCGGCCCTCCAGTTCCTGCGGCCTCCCCTGTGCTCCTGCGCTGGGCCCCGGTGGCCCTCGCGTGGCTGCGGCCTCCCTTCTGCTCCCCGTTGCACTGCTTCCCCAGGCGCCCCTTGGGTTCCAGGTCCTGGGCTGAGCTCCGAACACCGACGGTAAAGCAAAATCAGAACAGTTCGACGCTCTCAGAGCTGTCTCCTCGGACGGATGGACACCAATCAGACAAACGCACATGAGGTCACCGCGACCTGCGTCCCCCTGTAGGTGACAACCCGCGGCCTAAGGCGGTGGCCTGAACCGGCCCTTCGGCTGACTCGGCACCACGAGTGGGCTGCGTGGGTCGTCTGCTCTGCTCTGCTCCGATGGGCTCTCCTACAGCCTCCCGGCCACCTGGGGGTCAGCCGGTGGCTGGGTGGTAGAATGGCCTCGCTGGCAAGTGTCGGGGTGGGAAGGCTGTCAGCAGCCAGTGAGCTCTTGCACACTACCACACGGGCACTAAGCAAAGTGCATGGTGCCAGGGTCGCCCGTACTTGATACAGAAGTCTGCTTAGAACTACTTGGGGGAAAGTATTTCATTGAAAAGTGACATTTGAGCTGAGGCCCCAGGACTGCGGTGGGGTTGACTGGGTGTGGGAGGAGGGACGGTAGAGGCAGATTCCCTCCCTCCCACCCCCGCCCCGTTCCGGTTCCGTTTCCCCTAACCTCCACGTCCCCTGCCTCCATTCCTTCCATCTCTCCTGCATCCCTAATCCCAGCTACTGCCGTCCTTCACCTTCACCGCAGCCCCCCTTATTGGGGTCTCTGCACCCACAGTTGAACATTGCCATGCAGAACGTGGAGAGCAGATCCTGCTAGCCTTTCAAAGCCTCTGCCCCATCATCTGAATGTTTATGTCTCCCCCAAATTCAGATGCTGAATGCCTAAGACCAAAGGTGATGGTATTAGGAGGTGAGGCCCCCGGGGTGGGGGGCGCAGGGGGCCCTTGGTTAGTGCTCTTTGTAAAGGCGGCTCCAGAGAGCTCTGGGGCTCCTCCTGCCTTGTTACACTGGGAGGAGGAGCAAGAGGCCCTCACGGCTCACGGCTAGTGCCTCCAGAACTGTGAGAAGCAAATGTCTGCTTTTTATAAGCTACCTGGCTTATGGGGTTTTGTTTTTGTTTTTTTTGTTATTGGTTTTGGGTTCTTTGTTTGCTTGCGATAGCAGCTTACATGGCTAAGACAGACACCCACTATGCATAAAATCAAATTTTAAATCTTGACCCTGGCCATGAGGCTTGCTTACCCATCCACTCTCACTGCGCCACTATGTTAGAGCTACGGTATCTCTCTTTCTGTTCCTAGCATGCAGCAAGCTCATTGTAGACTCAGTTTTGTGTTTGTGATTTTCTGTTTAGAACACTCTCCACTTAGATCTCCACATGGCTGCCCCCTTCTGGTCCCTAGAGTTCCCTAGGCACAGAGTCAGGTGCTCTCTGACCACCAAATTATTACCATATCACCCTGTTTTGTTTCCTCCGAAGCACATGCCACTCTGGACGTTGACCTATTTGTGTATAGGCCGTTTCTGGCTCCCATGACTAGAATACACACAACTTGTGTTCTGCACACAACTAGGCACTTTGCTATCTTGTTCACGTTGTGCTCTCTGCACCACCAAAGTCCTTGATTTGTAGTGGGAACTCAGTAATTAGTTGAACTTACCAAAGGAAAAATGGATGAGTGAAAACCCCATGAGAGCGAAAGCAAGGGGTGTTTGAGGAAATAGGAGAAAATCCATGAAGCTGGAGTGGAGGCGGCGGGCATCATGAAGGTGACATAGTTGGAGTGGCGGGAAGGGGTCAGGTCATAGAAGGCATTTCAGCCCTGCCAAGTAAGGATTTGGTCCTTGCATCAGAGGGCTTCAGAGAAACAGAAGCGATAGTGTATACGTATACATACCAGATAGGGGGTGCGTCCGCGTTCTTACCATCTATCCATCCATCCGTGCGCTTTATTATAAAGAATTGGCTCATGTGACATGGAGGCTAAGTCCCAAGACGGGAGGTCAGCAAGCTGGAGACCCAGGAGAGCTGATGGGATGAATTCCAGGCTCAAAACTGGCAGACTCAAGACCTGGTACTTGTGGCTGAGTCTGAAGGCTGGAGAGAGAAAAAAAAAAAAAAAGCAATATTTTAAGCTTTTTTAAGCTATTTTAAGTTTAAGCAGTCAGGTGGAAAGCGTTTCTTCTCCCTCAGATTTTTTTGTTCTGGTCAGGTCTTAAATTGATTGGATGAGGCTTACCTACATTAGGGAGGACAATCTGCTTTACACAGTCTACTGGTTCAAGGGGTCATCTCACTCTGAAACATCCTCACAGACACATCCTCACAGACACACCTCACAGACACATTTTGGTAATGTTTGGCCAAAAGTCTGGGCATCCTGTGGCCACGGTCAAGTTGACACAAATTAAGGATCACAGTCTTTATCTTAGTATTTTACAGCAGCAACTACCTTATTCATCATGTAACTTTTAAATCTTTTTTTTTTTTTAAGATTTTATTTATTCATGAGAGATGCAGAGAGGCAGAGACACAGGCAGAGGGAGAAGCAGGCTCCCTACGAGGAGCCCAATGTGGGACTCGATCCCGGGACCCCAGGGTCACACCCTGAGCCAAAGGCAGATGCTCAACCGCTGAGCCACTCAAGTGCCCCAAACTTTTAAATCTTTAAGCAAAGGCCTCACGTAAAAATTTTGAACGAATATGTATTGTACTCTTCCAGCCTCCACCGAACATACGGAATGAATATGTTCTAGGAACCATTCTCCTGAGCTCTGGGCTCTTCTTTGGTCTTACTCTTTACTCTTTTGTCAACAGACATTTCAAAACATGTATCAACATAATTGTTCTTAAACCTTGTCAACACTTGGAGGAACTTTTATATAAAAGGCTATACTTTCTCCTGGTACCTATCATCTCATACAAGAGCAGCCGGGGGCCTGAGAAGGCCAAGTGCTTTGGCCATTAACACATGACGAAATAGTAGAGGAGCTGGAATTACCTCTGTCTGCTCCTTCCAGTGCTCTTTCCACTATCTTTAGATATATACATCTCTCTCTGTCTCACACACACACAACACACGTTATGATTTTTTTGCAAAGTTCTTAAACAAATGTAAAAATTAAATTACTTTAAGTATGTCATTCCATATTTGGGATAAGGAGCGTATGTGCCCATGGTCAGTCCATCATGGGTGTAGCATTCCAAAATCTTTGGGAATTATCGTTCCAGTGTAACCTGACTTTTTAGTGGCTTTTCTTAAACTACTACATATTTGTATATTTATGGTGAAACCGGCACAATCTTATTTTTCGTTAACATTGAATGAATTCCAACTTACTTAGGTTGGTTTAAGAAAAGTCCAGTGGAGGCAAAGAGTTACATTAACCTCATTCACTCGTTTATTCAGCACTATTTACTGAGAACTTGTCCTGTACCAGGTGCTAGATTTACCTAGTAAATCTACCAGGTAGATTTTTTCTTTTTAAGATTTTATTTATTGGGATCCCTGGGTGGCACAGCGGTTTGGCGTCTGCCTTTGGCCCAGGGCGTGATCCTGGAGACCCGGGATCGAGTCCCACGTCGGGATCCCAGTGCATGGAGCCTGCTTCTCCCTCTGCCTATGTCTCTGCCTCTCTCTCTCTCTGTGTGACTATCATAAATAAATAAAAAAAAAGATTTTATTTATTTGAGAGGAGAGAGAGAGAGAGAGAGAGAGAGAGAGAGAGAGAGAACACGAATAGGGGGAGGGAGAAGCAGACTCCTTGCTGAGCAGGGAGCCCGATGCAAGGCTAGATCCCAGGTCCCTGGGATCATGATCTGAGCTGAAAGCAGATGCTTAACTGAGCCCCCAAGGCACCCCTGGATTTACCATTTTTTAACCCAAATGCCCTGCATGAGGTGGAAGGAGACAGAAAACTTATACACATAACTGGATCAGTTTTTTATTTTTTTTTTCCAATCATATTTCTTTGGAACTTTCGAGGTGATGGATGATATAGTTTAGATTGTTTGATATGTTTATTTAATTTATTTAAGTTGTGTTATTCTTTTCTTAATCTTAGCTTTCCCCTCCCCTCCACCTTTGTCCCATTCTAGAAA